AATTGTTTAAAAATCACCTTTTAGGAATTAATTATTTGCAAGATGTGAGGATATTTACAATTAGTAATCAATGTTCTGAGGCGTCCGGTGCAGAAATATCGGTAGGTGCAGCGTTTTTTAAAGAGAACAAGCCATGTAAACAAGCGAGTTGAGCAGACGCCATTACGGAGCCTGCATACCTTTACTTTTTTTACATATCAATAAGGTACATTATAAATATTTATAAACCACGACCCAAGTACCTGTGTACAATTCATGAGCCATGCAACTATTTTCGCATACTACCATGTGTTTACACAGCAGACGACAATCCAAAAACATCGTTCGTTATAACATCAAAATATATTTCTTAGATCTAAAAGGTGTAGCGAATGTTAGATAAAATTGCAATATCTTTAACAATTAACAATTTTTTAAAGCCAATCTGGCGTATTTTTACCAATCTAAATCCTTGATTAATCTGTGACCTCTTTCCTGTTGAGCAAACCCGGAATAAAAGGAAGCCCAACCCCGATGTTAATTTTGAAGTCTGCATACATGTATCATCCATCAAACCCGACTTCTTTTCTCAGAAAATAAATGCATAGATCTAATTTATATTATTGAATAGATGCTAATATTGACTACATATCGGTTATCTGATAAATTTACTGCCTTGCAGAAATACTGTACAATTGTCGATTTTCCTGCACCAAACGACGAGATCGTCTTTCTGGCTTTCATTTACATCGATGCTTGACTCAGATGGAAACTGACTTGCACATAATACATATACATACCTTTTTTAGTCTCGATTTAATTTACTTTGTCCTAAACGCATCCAACTATCATTTTACTGAAAGAAAAGAATGAGAATAACCTCAATGGCTAAATGTAAATATTTATAATCAAAAAAATATAAGTAATATATAATTTCCTTTAATCTGAAAAGTTTAATCTATTTTAACTCCAAGATAATTTGCCTTTGAGAAAAGGCCCAAAGGCCCTGTAAATCAGTATCATCGAAAAAAAGAATCGCATGTAAATGATTTCATAAACATTAGGCGTTGATTTCCAGCATGTTGTAATTTTGATTCATCAAATTATAGACCAATGTGGTATCTGAATTAATATTCTGCGTTTCCGTACTTGGTCAAATTTTTTTCCTTTAAAGCAAAGCTTAGTTTTGTAGCTTTTGTACAGCAAGTCATCCCAATATGGAGAAAAAATAATATTGATCTCAATATAAGCCTTCTTTTCTTTCTGTATAATGTTTCGGTTTTATGGACGTTTTCTTTGATTTGGTCACGCACGTATTCACAGCGAAATCGTAGATATTTTTACATCTCTCTCTCTCTCTCTCTCTCTCTCATAAGAAAGTATGTACCTTTTGTAATTCAACCTCCTTCATTTAAAAACTAATTACAAAACTGAGGAATTCACACACTTGTTATCGTTATTTGAGTATGTATTTTGGTATAAAATAGTCCTTAATCGTGGGATTGAAGAGGCATATGACGTCAGAGAGCTATTAATGCCTCCATTATGTCTTCAATGCACAGAGTTATGCATTCCACGAGTTTACGTTAAACCCACACTTCAAGGGAAAATAATTTAAGCCTGCTTTAGAATACTAGTTATATTGCACTATAACGGTAAATGATATTGAAATCCAATGTATTTTAGTTTATTCAAATGCAGGAATTAGGCCCACAGTGTTTTCGATGCACTTTCTTTCAGTTTCAGCAGTTTCGCACTTGCCTAAATTTTGATATGGAAGGCAAGTTCTGAATATTAGGAGAATGTAATAAATAAAAGCATGTGTAACTGCTTGGTGGGAAAGTATATAAAACTTTTTTGTTGTCGTTGAGCGGTGAATCCAAAAAGAAAAGGGGGCACAGCAAAGCGGAGCATCGAAAAGCATTAAAATTTTCTATTCGACGTTGATGCTGATGCAAATTACGTCACTTCCGTTTCAAACAAGGACAAAATAACACACACACATCCTAACACACTCACACAAGCGCATTTCTATATCCCCTCTAACTTAAATGGGAGGTAATAATTATCATGCATTTCTGAATCTATCACAGAAATCCACCTATTACAAAGATCTGAAACATTACAGTGTGCTTCAAAAGGGGCAAGGAGATTTTTTTTAAGTTTTTTTTTTTTTTTTTGCGCATGATCTGTCACGTAATTTTGGTGAACATTTTCTTTACCCATCGTTTTTCCTTTTTTATTGATTTCTTTTTTTAAATAAATATCCTACCTTTTCAATTTTGATGGATCCTATCTTTTTAATGATAGTAAAAAGCAACCACTTTTTCTACAACACTTGTATAAAAATGTTTGACAAGTATATATATTAGTCTAGGAATTTTAATGATGTGTATAAAACATGATTTAAACATTCGAAAATAAATTGCGATGTAACCTTTTCCCTTTTTATTATAGCTGCGTAAAACGAATAATTTACTGTTGTAACGACATCCTTCCATTGACCTTAAAAACAACCCCTCCATTTTAGTTTGACCTTCACCCAGCATTTAATCAATGTGTGAACAGTTCGGCGTTGTAAATGTAATCGTCTGAATATCAACCGACATTATTTTGTCGTCTGCCACCTAGTATCACGTGATTCTTCCGGCTAAGGTTGGGCGTTGTCATGCTGTCAATTTCTTTTTGGTACCTAAGAAAAAAATACAAATTGTCCAATCAGACGGGTGTCACACAGATGAACGAATTACCTGAGCGGATGTTATTTTTCTATTGGCTAATTTGTTTTTTCTGGTTGGATTTCATTTTTTTTTAAAAAATGCAGATTACTTTCTACATCAAAATAATAAACTTCGTAAAGCGAAAAATCGTAATGCGTAGTAAATTAATTCAATTTCGAATTTACCTATTCAAATTTAATTAGCAGTACTTAACGTTTGTTTAACAGGGCATGCAACCCGTTTATTATACCGACATTTTTTTCTGTTTTAGATTAATGCCATGTTTGAAAATATTTATTCGCCAATTAAGAGCCCAATGATATATTTTTTTTAAAAAGAACTTTGTGATAACAAATGTATAACATTCTCTCAATGGTCGCTGAAAAATATTTACAAATCCAAATAAGCTGAACCCAAAAGAAAAATGGCTGCATCTAATTTACACCTATATCAAAGACGTAAAAAAAAAAAGGGAGCAGAATTTCGGTAAGTATATCATGAAATTCGTAGATAGATAATATTGTCTTTCTGACATACTTTCTATTTATCAATAAAAATATGCATTATGACTATAATATTAAGCCATCTTTAAAAAATTGTTTGGTTGCCTTCTCTCGATCGACTGGCTTTAATTGCCCTAACTCAAAACTTTTTTTAACCCTCCAGGAAACAATAATTTTTTATGTACACTGGAAAATGAATTTTAAAAAAATAGCAATGCTGCATTGAAATTGAAATTTTCTGAGGAAAAAAAATTACACTTGTACCTACCGATCCAATATTTTCAGAGTAAGTCGGGAGAGGGCAAACAAACTGCTGAGTTTCATTTTTCGCAGAAGAGCAATAGTTTACAACAGACACATGGATGAGTTTCAAGGAAAAAAATATTTTCGTTTCATTGATAACAAAGCGAAACTCATTATTTGAATTTCAATAATTTCTTCATATTTTCTTCTTTTTTAATATAAGAATAGTCTTCGAATCTTGCTTTCATTGCAGGAACTTACTACCTGAAAAATGTCCGAGATGAAAACTTGAAAAATGTCGGAAATAGAAAATTATAAAATGTCGGAAATGGAAAGATGAAAATTTAAAAAAAAAAAATCCGGAAATGAAATGCAGCCAATCAAACACGATTCTTAAACTGGTCTTAGGTACATTTATTTATTGAATAAGAACAAGATTTCAATTTAACATCATTATTATCTAACAATATATTTTAGTTTTCAAAAATAGATTAAAAGTTCGTGTCATACAAAAATGAAAATGTCTAAAAGAATTGTTTCAAATTATGTCCATAAGTTTTTTAAATTTATTTTTCTCTATCATTGAAAAAGATAAAAATGCCTAAGACTACATCAAACAACAATAAATAACTCAACTATATGTATTAAGCTTAATCAATTTTTCCCTCCATTTTAAAGCTTCCAATAAGGTTGTAATTAGTTTAAATGAAAATTTAATAGACTCTCAACAAATGCATACTGTACTTAAAGAGCCTTAAAACCTTTATTTAATTTTTAAAGACAAATTATAAAATAAATAATTGAATAAGTAAAGAAATAAATAAATAAGATAAAAACTTCAGATTTTACGGAAGCACACTTGCTGCTCTTTTTGTTTTTAAACATTACAGGAAATCTGAAATTAGTTTCGTTGATTTTTTTAAACTGATTTTTTTTTTCCTAATTGAATATCATGAATGGAAAAGCTGTATTCAAGCTGTTAATATGTTTCATAACCCATTTAAAAAAGTCTTTTTTTTACCTAATGTATTGAGAAAAGCTCGAAAATTTTCAACCAAGAAAATAAATTTTAAAAAGGCAAGGAAAAGTTAGTAAGTCTTCAGATTTATTTTAAATTAAATTATTTATAAATAATTTTAAAAGTATTAAAATATGCATATATATAAATAGATATTTTTAACAATGGGAAAAAACCTTTCAGTCACCCATTTTTAATTTTATTAATGTTAAACATGCACTAATCTCTATTTAAATAGATTTTTTTAGCATGCAATATTAAAATAATTGAGGTTCTATTTCAAAAGCTTTTTAGCTTATATAACAGAGAATAATTTTCAACCGCAAAAATAAGTTTCATTTTACTGCTTTCTGAAAAAAATCAACAGCTTTAACGGGCGAGCGAAAAACTTTATTCTCGTATTTTGACAAATAAATGACTCTAAAAATCGCATCTTACAGCAGATGGTCTTTTTCTCTATGGAAAACTGAAGCTGCATTCTGATTGGTCAGATAGATTGAGCGTCTATTTTTATCCAACAATGTAGATCGGCTTTTGAAGCGATTGACAGGTCATGTGACCAAAGCTAGGAACGCTAGGAAATTATGTAGAAATTTGCTGGGCTATTTCAACAAGAAATATCGAAGATTTCACCTAAAATTGGACATAAGAGGTATGTCAGTTTCACTCTATATCTCCCGGAGAACTTAACTTCGTAAATGGAAACCGATAGACTATGAGACGGCCGAGATATTTGGCCAGAATTAAAACTGTGACCCCACGCACGATCTAAAAATATCAAACAAAATGGCGACGGTCAATACGCGATTTTTATCCAATTTCCTTTGTTGCGATAAAATCTTAGTGGTATGACAGGCGACTGAACCGGTTGTTTCAAAAGCGATTTAATCAGTATCGATCAAGGATTACAGGAAAATTAGACATATTCCCTTGAGCACTACATGCATTGTAGAGTTCATAAGGGCGGATGGCGGATTACTGTTTTGTCTACGTTCAACATTTTCGCCAGAATTTTACAGTAGAAATAGTGCGTTCACAAATGTCAGAAGTTGCAGTACTAGTTATCAGATCATTATTGTTACAAAATTAAAAATAGCAGCTCATTATGAAAACGTATATATTGGCTTAAGATAAAAACCGCTTTATCATCTATAAATTAATTGATGTCTCATTTGGAATGAAAAATATCGATAGTTGGATTTAAGTTGCTGGCTAGGGGTCAAAGTTCACGAGGAGCAGGTGTTTTGGCGATAAGGGGGATGACCCCCCGCAGTGATGGTGAACAGACTTTCGCCCCCTGTACAATGGATGATCTGTGTGTAAATTCATCAATCACGCGTCAAAACGGCGCGAGTGTAAATGAAACAAATCGGTAAAGAAAGTAAATGAATATCTGTCCAAATTAACACTCTCTTGGAAACTACATAAAGAAATCAATGTGGCAGGGAAATGCCTTATTTTTAAGTATTAGAAATATATACTTTCTATTATACACAGTTATATAAAAAAGTGAAAATTAATGAAAATATATAAAAATTTAGTCCTGAAGAACATGTGCATGTAGAATCTGAAAAGAAATACATTGTATGAGTATAATTCATGAAAGTATACTCCTAAAATATTTGGAAAAAAAATTAAATAAAAGAAAAACTCGCCATATTAATAAAAAAAAAGATAATGAAATTGTAGAAGTTGAAATTTAGATTTCTTGACTTTTACAAAAGGCCATAATGGTGCTAATTCTGTGTTGGTGTTTGAATAATATATGTTGAGACATTTTTTAAAGTGATTTATTTTATTAAAAAAAAAAAAGTAAATTACATATACTTCTATTATGTTTTTTACCCATGCTTTTTTTCCCATGGAGAGACGGATTTTTGGTTTTGTTTCTGAAATTACAGCTAATTTTTTTAAAATTAATTTTTTCCTAGATTTGTAAGATAAATAATATTTTTTTTATTAATGTAACAAAAGTGCATAAATGCAACGTTCCTTAATATCTAATGAACTGAAGTCGCAAAAGGGACAAAGGGGGGTGTTGAGGCATTGTTTGCTTTTGTTAGAATATACAAAAAGTGTAAAAGACCAAAAAATCGTGCAGATTAAAATCTGTATAAAATTATTTTAGTGAGGCTCGGTTGAGCCGCGTCACGACAAATTCTTCCGCCGCTGCGCATAAATTCAAAAACAAGGCGAAGAGATTTCTCGAATGTGAAGAAAAACAAAATACGGTATATTTTTTCAGTTATATCAGACATTAATGTGTAGAAACTCGGAATTCTTCTATCCCATCAATATAAGGTTTTAAGTTTTCACTTGTCTATAATGACCCAGATTATTCAGTTTTTAGGTCAATAAATGTTACACTTGTAAAAGACAGGAAACGGTTTATGTTTTGTGATCGTCAGCTCAGTTATTTCAGTTTCTGTAACTTAACACAGGAATCGCACATTTCTCTGCGTATTTCTGTTTATAAATTGATTGCCATAATTAGAAAAACAAATGCTGTGAGTATATAAGTTATAACTACTGTAATTGGGTAGGGGGAGTATATAAATATGTGTCACTTTTCTGTGATTAATATTTCAGAAGCATTTATTCCGTTATCTTATATCTTTAGTTAGTGAGGGAAAAAAATATATTTATGCATGCATTGCATGTGAGGCAAATAGTTAACCCTACGATTATGTAATTTATGAATCATGGATACGAAAAAACGCCACTTATTATTTGGACCTTGTGATTTGTGAAGAATTATCTTTCTTTTGAAGATTTTTTTTTGGTGAGGGGAGGGGGCGGAGTGTTATTTTTCTTCCAAATTCTCTAACTGATCATTTGCTTTACTTATCTATGGAAAACAGAGGCAGCCTCGTTAGCCCCACACGAACTACCCCCTAGTATGTTTGTAAACGACTTCACTGCATATATATGTAACGCCAAATTCTGACGACTTCACTGCATATAACGCCAAATTCTGAATTTAACCGAACTCTTATACGCAATAAGTACCGAGTTCGAAGAATGAAGAGAGTGATAAGATATCTCTTTGATGGTAAATCTAATGGATTTTTGCAGAAATATTTATTATATTCCATAAAATTTCATTCTCTCCGCCATTAAAACTTTCCTTCATTTCCACTGTGGCAAGAACAAAATGCTCCATCTAGCTCCCTGTAAATAGTAAATAAAATACATGTAGTCTATATTATTCTCCTTATTTGTTTGAAACAAGAAAGAATAAAACGTAGTCTTTTATTCTCAATTAGGTTTTTTTTTATGTCCTTTAAAATTAAAAAAAATATCTGATTTGATTTGAACATATTTTATTATGTAACAAATATATAAATGGATTGGGCAGCAGGCATAGCCTATATAAGCCCTCTATGTAAAAAATACACATAGTAACAGGTTTATATATGACCAATAAGTTATATATATAACACAAATTATTTTGCATTTTTTATGTTATTTTGCATTTTTTATATATTTGTAAGGAATATTTATGTAAGTTTTTTCATACTTTACGATTATGTGCATTGTAAGCATTTGCTGAATGTATATCAAATAACTTTATGTTATTTTACTCAAAATTTATTACAATTTTACATTCAACCATCTGTAGCTTAAAGCAATATGAGCTGCATTTTTGATAATTTAATATAGCTGTCACAACGTGTTATTATGATAAATATTTATGTAATTTAAACATCTATGAGCAATTAGACTAAAATAAAGTACTAAAGTATTACAGAAGAAAGACTTTTGTACAATCAAATATATAGTATTATTAAAGAAATCAATATTGTACAGGACGACAATAATGTAATTTTGCTTTAATCAAAGCTTGTAAATAGATCTTCCATTGCAAATATGAGCAACAAAGGTTTATAAATGTTCTTTTTCTCTGTCCTTCAAATAATTAATTACAATTTTGCAACAAAAATTTCCGACATCAAAGTTGCAGCTCATATTGCTTTAAAAAAGGTTTTAATACAATATGGCTGACAGAGAAGATGAAATACAGAGCAGAGGATAGTGATACAGTGATATGAATAGCGATTAAAATTCCCCATAATTGATAGAATTGAAAATCTCTCTCTCTGTCTCTCTCTCTCTTTGACATACAAATTGTATTTCAATATATACAGTGTGTATATAATTATATACGTAATGTATGTATTTATTTTATGCGTATGTATGTACTTAGGTATACAGTCAGTGTAAGATTATGCGTATGTATGCAATTTTTTATGCGTATGTGTATGTATTTAGGCATACAGTGTAAGATTATGCGTATACGTATTTCTTTTATGCGTATGTATGTTTTTACATTGTAGGCATACAGTGTAGGATTATGCGTATGTTTGTATTTCTTTTATGCGTATGTATGTTTCTAGGCATATAGTGCAAGATTATGCATATTTATGTATTTCTTTTATGCGGTATGACTATGTATTTAGGCAAAGTTGCAAACTGTTTAAGATTATGTGTATGTATGTATTTCTTTTATAAATGCATAAGTTTGTATGTACATGTATACTTAGGCATACGGTGTAAGATTATGCGCATGTATGTGTTTCTTTTATGCGTGTGTTACAGTGTATGTAATCAGGCATACAGTGTAAGATTATGCGTATATATGTATTTCTTTTAATGTTTTATGCGTATAATTATTTTCCAGATGCCGGGGACGGTCCGTATAAAGATCACGGAGCTGAATCCTCATCTGATCTGCGTATTGTGTGGCGGTTATTATATCGACGCCTCCACCATCAGGGAGTGTCTGCATTCTTGTGAGTTGTATACCTTAAGGTTCATCGATACTCTGCTAAGAGAGATAACTCTTATTGGCATAAATGTTCTATTACTCCTTTACAGATTTGCCAAGTTGAAGTGTCTTTTTTTTCCATGGTAGAATTGTTTGTATTTTACTTATAAAATACATTTCTTTTGGAAAATGATTAAGGTTCATGCAACATTTTATATGAGTGATCAGAGGGTTTATGAACCTTAACAAAGAAGAAAAAAAATTTACAGTATACCCAGCATGGTAGTTGTGTTTCACAATTGATTTATCTTTTTTTTTGTCCCTCTGATTTCAGTTTGTAGGACATGCATCATCAAATATCTTGAGACAACGAAATATTGTCCCATTTGCGATGCCATGGTCCATAAAACAAAGCCCCTTCAATATGTCAAGTAAGTCAATACATATCAAAATAAGTCAAGATATCCTTTATACCGGAGTATCTTAATATGTACCAAAGTATCTCAATATAAACCAAAGTATCTCAATATATACCAGATTATCTCAATATACACCAAGTATCTCAATATATACCAAAGTATCTCAATATAAACCAAAGTATCTCAATATATACCAGATTATCTCAATATATACCAAAGTATCTCAATATATACCAAAGTATCTCAATATATACCAAAGTATCTCAATATAAACCAGAGTATCTCAATATACACCAAAGTATCTCAGTATATACCAAAGTAAGTCAATATATACCGGAGTATCTCAATATGTACCAAAGTATCTCAATATATACCAAATTATCTCAATATATACCAAAGTAAGTCAATATATACCAATGTATCTCAATATGTACCAAAGTATCTCAATATATACCAAAGTATCTCAATATATACCAAAGTAAGCCAATATATACCATAGTATCTCAATATATACCAAAGTATCTCAATATATACCAGAGTATCTCAATAAATACCAATGTAAGTCAATATATACCAAAGTATCTCAATATACACCAAAGTATCTCAATATATACCAAGGTAAGTCAATAAATACTGGAGTATCTCAATATGTACCAAAGTATCTCAATATACACCAAATTATCTCAATATATACCAAAGTAAGTCAATATATATATACCAGAGTATCTCAATATATACCAAAGTAAGTCAATATATACCAAAGTATCTTAATATACACCAAAGTATCTCAATATATACAAAGGTAAGTCAATATATACCAAAGTATCTCAATATATACCAAAGTATCTCAATATATACCAAGGTAAGTCAATATATACCAAAGTATCTCAATATATACCAAAGTATCTCAATATATACAAAGGTAAGTCAATATATACCAAAGTATCTCAATATATACCAAAGTATCTCAATATATACCAAGGTAAGTCAATATATACCAAAGTATCTCAATATACACCTAAGTATCTCAATATATACCAAAGTATCTCAATATATACCAAAGTATCTCAATATATACCAAAGTATCTCAATATATACCAGAGTATCTCAATAAATACCAATGTAAGTCAATATATACCAAAGTATCTCAATATACACCAAAGTATCTCAATATATACCAAAGTATCTCAATATATACCAAAGTAAGTCAATATATACCAAAGTATCTCAATATATACCAAAGTAAGTCAATACATGTATATACCAAAGTATCTCAATATACACCAAAGTATCTCAATATATACCAAAAGTATCTCAATATATACCAAGGTAAGTCAATATATACCAAGGTAAGTCAATATATACCAAAGTATCTCAATATATACCAAAGTATCTCAATATATACCAAAGTATCTCAATATATACCAAGGTAAGTCAATATATACCAAAGTATCTCAATATATACCAAAGTATCTCAATATATACCAAAGTAAGTCAATATATACCAAAGTATCTCAATATATACCAAAGTATCTCAATATATACCAAAGTATCTCAATATATACCAAAGTATCTCAATATATACCAAAGTATCTCAATATATACCAAATTATCTCAATATATACCAAAGTATCTCAATATATACCAAAGTATCTCAATATATACCAAAGTAAGTCAATATATACTAAAGTATCTCAATATATACCAAAGTAAGTCAATATATACCGAAGTATCTCAATATATACCAAAGTATCTCAATACAGTGTAGTTACCAAAGTAAGTCAATATATACCAAAGTAAGTCAAGGTTTTCCAAACTAAGTCAATATAATTATAGTTATACCAAAGTATCTCAATATAAAGCAAGTTACTTTATATATGTATACCACAATAAGTCAATAAACTTATACTAAAATAAAAGTCAATACTTATACTTAAGTAAGTCAGAAAGTACCTATGTAAGTTAATATATACCAAAGAAAGTCAATGTATATCTACATGGTTTTAAAAGTAAAATAAAAAAGTTAAAAAAGTTAAAGATAAAAAAAACTGGGAAGTCCTGAAAAGATTTGAGGAGCACCTGCAACACGGAATCAAATATGTCATGCCTCTATTTTGATATAATTAGACAATAGTCAATTTAAGGTGTACTGTGATATACGTTTATGCATATGCTTTTCTTGTGAGTTGCTCATGCAAATTAAACTTAATTCATCAGTTTTCTCCAAGTTTTATTTTAATACGTTTATTTATTTTTTATTCTATTGCTGCGTAGAAATGAGTTTGCTTGTTAAGATATATCAATTCTTGATATTTTTTAACTAATTATTTTTTTTTTTCATTTCGTTTTTTCCCCATTTTTCTTCTCTAGATATTTTTATAGAATTGTAACCAAGTTATAAAACGTTGCATTGCAAGAAATGCTGTGTTCAATATATAAACATATACTAAGTTTTTATTTTTGATAGGATCAGGTGTGGATTTTTAATCAATTTTTTACATTCTTTAGAAGAATATCACAGAGCAGAAGGTTTTTTTTCTGACTTTTAATTAATAAAAGAGACATTCATACACAGAACATAATAAATTTAATTAATGAAGATGACGTAAGAAATTATATAATGAAATTCTTTAATTTTTCTTTCAGATCAGACAAAAACCTGCAGGATTTGGTATATAAACTCGTTCCGGGGCTTTATAAGGGTATATTTAATATTAATGAAGAAATTCATTTGCACAGTAAAACATAAGCGCTTTCATTTTATGGGTTTCCGCTGCTTTAAAAGCTAGATGGGTCTATCATGTTCGTTTTTTAAATATTTCTTTTTTTTTCAGACGAAATGAGGCGACGGAGGGACTTCTATTCCAGTCATCACGAAGGTAAGTCAAATTGTACAGAATTCTGTAGCTTATATTAAAAAAATGTATTTACTGCCACATGGTAAATTCCAAATTTACAAATGTCAGACACAATATCTACAGACCCTTTCTGTGCTTCAGTTTGGAGATGGTCGCAAGTTTTAACACCTCGACTCGATTTAAATGTTATGTAGTGGTAAAAACATTCTAAAATTCTTGAATCCTGATATTTTTATTCCAGTTATTTCAGAAATTAGTAAATTATTTTAATTGATAGATGTCAAACATTGTGATATCTCGATTTGTGATATATATATCGGGTGAAATGCACGATATCTGGTGAAATGTACGATATCTGGTCAAATGTAAGATATTCGATACCAATTTGTGATAATATAAAATGTGTTTTTAAATTGTCGCAAGTACAACAAAAACAAAAATACCATAGAAGAAAACCTTAGATGGTTTAACATAAAGAGAAGGTCAAAACAAAGAACTCTCACGATAGTACTTTGACCATAGAGTAACAGGGAAAAGACTTGAAATAAAGAAAAAAAATCACTATAGCCATTTGTGTAGAAGTGTGAGCGGGAATACGGTTCTTTAAATGATAATCAATGGTTGTAGAATAAAAAATGTTTGTTTGTTTTTTTTAAAAGACAACCTATTTGTAAGAAGAAAAGATATTCCTTTTTATTAATGTAACAAATTTGAAAATTTAACTGATGAATTATAAATAATACTTGTATTTAAAAGAATTAAGCATAGTTATTTTTTTTTTTGGCGGGGGAGGTTAACTTTTTTATTATGTAGGACAAGCGTATTTAACCACACCCCCCATTTTTTCATGACATTTTGTTACTATACAACACCTAGTTATTCTGAATGATAAACCTCCTTCCTGTCGAAAAAAATCGTAAAGGCGTTTCATTCACACCTGTTGAGAGAGCTGTGGGAAACTTGTTTCACGACATGTAAACTGCAACAGCTGTCACTGGGACGACACTTACTTATATGTAATGTATGTACACCTATCAATCATTAGGACAGATTAATATAAGCATATCAATATTTAACCGGAAAATTTCTGTCCATGTGTGACCACTTCCTGTTGTTAAACCGGATCATGTTTTCCCAAGCTCCAAACAGCTCAGTATTACTTAAATGGTATTACATGTATGAACGGATTTATATAACTCAAGAAATTTGTAAATTATTGTAGGATTGCTTTTAATCGAAACTCTTTTAAGTTCTACATGAATTTTCAGGAATGGAAAGTTGATTTAACAATAAGTTTCCTTCGCATTAGTAAGAAAAAAATTTCACTTACGGATATAAATGCAGTGTAATTTTTATTGATAAAAAAATCCAATTCCTCAAAATTACACAAAAATTTAACCTTCTACATAGAAAAAAAGAAGAAAAGTATCGAACTTATATTTTTTTTATTATTTCAAAATACACTTTATATATGCAGCCACCCTCCATCTGCATGATAACGGTTTATAACCAGCACTGTGATTGTCCAAAATTTCAACTTATATATATGTATACGTCTTCTCTCTGGTATTTTCACTGTTCTACCAAAATATCGCGCATGCTCCCTCACTTATGCTTACGGCCTCCTTCTCTCTGGAAAGACTTTTCATCTATCTAGTAATCTGTTTCAAAAAAGTATTTCCGCGCAGGTCCCTCCACTGGTGTTTCTTGGCCTACGTCTCCTGGGTTTTCTTCGGGAGGGGGGTCCAGGATAGGGCTTTAGCCTTAGCAATGGGGATAGCTGCAGATCTGTAGCGTTATGGTTTTATATATTTGTCCTTGACCATAACGCTACAGATCCCATAATGCAAAAAAGGTGCAATTTACGGCGCAATATTTTTTGCGCACTTTTGGGGAGAATTTCTCCACTTTCCATTATTGGTCAATTACCTACCTTTCACTCCCTAATTCTAAGCACATTATTTAACTAATCTGTATATTTTATCCATCTCCCAACCCTTTATATTCGTCTCTACGAGTGATAAACTAACTTGATCAAAATTATTTGTTAGATTGCTGAAAATTCACTTCAAGCGAGTTTATTGCCAGTAGAGATAAATATAAATGGTTGGGAGGTGGATATACATATTGGCTACAGAATGTGGCTAGAATTAGGGAGTGAAAGGTAGGTAATTGACCAGTGCTTGGAAAGTAGAGAAATTCTCCCCAAAAGTGCGCTAAAAATATTGCGCCGTAAATTGCACCTTTTTGCATTACGGGATACTGTAGCGTTATGGTCAAAGACAAATATATAAAACCATAACGCTACAGATCTGCAGCTACAATGGGGAAAGCCTCGTAGGGCTTGCGTTGTGATGTTGCAGTACGAGGATTTCCCCTTTGTTACATGTACATCATCTTTTCAACTTGGGATTGATTTTTTTTTTCTCAACCACAGTTCGATTTCGTTCAATTTGTCAAGCTATGATGTATCTGATCTGAAATGTCGCGAAAACCTTCATTTCCCCGCCATCCCATTTCCATTTCAAAGTTCTATATAGGAACCCCAAGTCGTCAAAATTATATCCATTTCAGGTCTTATTAAGAATTACATGAACAAGTCACAATAACTTAAGCTTTCTACATTTCAAAAAAAGAAATGTTGAAAAGCAATTTAGCCTTAGCTACAACCTCGATTCAAAATTTATCATCAGGTACTCAAACAATAGATTGTAGGTGGCCGCCCTTTCGGGGCTACCTATTGAGCTAGATTTAAATTCATGTATGCCACTGATCAAATACGTGTAAATCATTATTATTTTGTCTGGGGATCTTTGAATATATGGAGGTTCAACTTTTTTTTAGGAAAAGATGACCCTCGTTATGTTAATTATATCTTTATTTTTTAGCTGACAATTCTGACCCCCTACGGCCCAGTGAAGCCCGGGGATACGAGGACAAAGACAGACTGATCTACACAGAGGACGAGAAAATCAGCCTCGCTTTGGAACTTTTCTCAGAGTAAGAAGATCACAAGACTTTTTATTGCAATATGCGCTTATTTGCTACTTTGTGAGATTTTTTCGAAAGGCGATTTACTGCACATGTATGTTGCACGATTTTCCCATGAAATACAAAGTCAAATTTTTAAATATGTAGTAATTATTTTGTTTCATATTAAAAATATTCCTGCGATAATGATGGTTGACTTCATATAATTTTCATATTCTTAAGTTGACCTTCAAATGACGAACTTTTCCAGGCATATGATCACTAGAAATGTTTTATGTCATTGTTTGAACTTGTTCTCAAATGTTTACGGACGACATTTTGTTTATTGGCGAAATCAATCGTAAATTATCCAGTAGCAATTAAAAATAACAATAAATGACTTTTTTCTGTGATTGATTATTTGTTTCACTTCAGTTAAAGACGACTGACACACATTTGTGGTTTTAATGTAGCTTTTAGGATATACAATGTATCTCTATACATGGTAATGCTTACCCTTTTTCGTAAAATGTTTATTGTTGAATTTAAAAGAGGCAGACGAAAGAACTTTTTGAAATGATTGTAAACAAAATGCTAATATACGCTGGTGCTGTACTTAAATGTTGCTATATGTCGTCAAAAATTATGAGTCGTGCTTTTTATTTATTTATCTTTTTATTTTTCGTTTTCTAATCTTCGATTTATTTTGTTACTGTGTGAGTTTGTGTAGGTGACCGTGTATATGTTTTTAATCATTAATATTCCCAATTTATTTTTTTTTACATATATCCAGAGGTTCATGATTGCAAATATCATTACCTGTTCATGATTAAAAAGATAATTCTTTTATATTCAGCGTCCCCGAGTTCACCAAAAAAGATTCCGATAATCCCAACAGATTGCAGGTAAGGCGACAACCAAAACATTAAAAATGTCCGTAAAACTAAAAATAACCAGTAATTAAATTTAAAGAGCTCCTTCTAGAAATGTTTTTTTTCCTTGTTTTGTAGCAGCAAGACATTCGGTATTTACAGTGCCCCGCGGCAGTGGCCGTAGCACATCTAAAGAAATTCATCCGCATGAAGTTCGACCTACCGCCAAAATACATGGTAACATTCTTATAATTTTTTTCTTCTTCAGATTATATCTGTATTTTGCAATTAATTCATATTGAGAATTTTGATTAAAATGTCGTGTTGCGTTAGATATTGGATTCTAAAGAGTTGTTGAGATCATGATTCTTAAGGCGAAAGTGGAATTTAACTACAATGTATATCATATGTTCATATAAAGTTCAGCAAATGATATCAAGGTCAATGACGTTATGACCTTGACTGTGACCTATATGCTAAAAATAACTTTTGGAACTTTGTTGCCACCGAGCGCATAGTATTTCACAAACACATCTTGTTTCTTCTTCAGATCATATCTGTATTTTGCAATTAATTCCTATTGAGAATTTTGATTAAAATGTAGTGTTGCGTTAGATATTGGATTCTAAAGAGTTGTTGAAATCATGATTCTTAAGGCGAAAGTGGAATTTAAGTACGATGTTCATCATATGTTCATCATATGTTCATCTATACATGATATAGTAAAATATAGAAAACATCTTCGCAAGACTATCCGGGCTGAGTGGGAATGAATGAAATGTATTTTTATAAGGAGATAAGCTTAATATATTAGTAATTGAACTAGATGTATATGGGAAAAATCTGTAATAATATTCTTCTCAAGAACCACTGGGTCAGAAAAGCTGAAACTTGTGTGGAAGCATCCTGGAGTATAGTGTAAATTCTATAAAATTGTTCAAATCATGCCCAGTCATAGTGTTGGGCCGCAATAGGTATTGCAAGGGTGGGTGGGGGGTGGTTCTGGTGAGGAACAAACATGACCAAAGATACTCGAGGAGCGTTGTGGCCAATGGGGCTCTTTTTTTCCCCCTAGAACTCCCTTTATTGTGTTTTAATATGTCTCAAATGTCTTTCATATCTACAAGATATCATTGTGTTTCGCAGATCGACATCTATCACTCAGATGAACCCCTCAAGGATTTCTTCACATTGATGGATATTGCTTATATATACACGTGGAGAAGGGTAAGGGTTTTTTTCCGCTGGTAAAATAATCTCTTTTGAATAAATTATTGTTTCGTTACGTGATGTTTGAATTTTTTTTTCAGACAGCACCGTTAAGGCTTCTGTATACTGTTTACGAACAGCGCGCGAAGAAACGAAGAAATTCAAATGAAGAAGACGTGAGTCAAACGCAAAAACAACCAAGATTAACGGAAACAGACCCGGATAATGTAAAAGAAAGCAAAGTAACCGAAAATCGAGTAAGCGCTTCCCCGGAAAGACCATTAGGTGACGAAAATTCATCTCCGGATAAAAACGAACTCAAAACAAAGGAAACAGAGAAAGAGTGCAAGGTTAACATCGAGGAAAAGGTCAAGGACAAAAGTGAGGATAAACATGACGACGAACAAACTGTGTCAGAAAGCAAAAGTTTAAAACAGTCAACGAACAAGCCAAAATTAACTGAAAAAGACAGTGTGAAAAATATCATGTCCGGAAAGAAACCAGCACAGAAATCGCTCCACGAACAGGGTGGGAAATTCTTTTCTTCCAATTTCTACAAACGTAAAGCAGCTCTCCATCCCGACATTGGTAGCGATTCCCCGATGGATCTGACCAAGAAAACGCTGAAAAAACACAAGGAGTCGAGTACTAAGAAGGTGGGAAAAGAACAAACAATGATGAACGGAAGTCTCTTTCCCGGATATGAGTTCACGGACTAAATGTTGTGGAGGAAGGTTTATTAGTTGCTGGTGCATTTACACAGACACTTCATTAATTGTTACTGCATGTAGTTAAATACTTTTTTGTTACCGACTTTTTATACAAACTTGCCAATTATTCTTACAAAGTAAACACGGAAAAGTCAATTTAATAGTTGTTAATGTAGAAAGGGGAATAATTCATTCTTTACTGTGTTAAAGATAGCGATAGCTTGCGCAACTGTCCGTCTTTTATTGTTTGTTTTTTTTAACTCACACACAGGACAATATCCGTCTCTGACAAATTTTACTGTGCTTTTGAAATTAGCTCTTTAAAACAAAATATGTGCGACTTTTATGTATATGTATTTTCCAGAAACTTTACATAAACAAAACTTCCTACATTTTTAGAAGTTTTCTTCAATAAATATACAGAGCATTATACTTACATTTTCCTACTTTTCATCAAATTTTGAATCTGTCAAACAAAAAGTTGATTAAACAGTTATCACTTCTCTATTTAGAAAGGCACCTATTTAAGCAAAGATGTTTAGATTTTTGGAAGAAAAAATGTTAACGCGTTATTTAACGTCAAATCAAATTTAAAGATTTATTATAAGACATATTTTATTTCAATGTAGGTGATTTCTTCGGTTAAATAATTAAATATATATCGAAATGTCTGATCTCCAAAATAAGTGATCTAATGGAAGACTTAATGAATGCATCTTCTTGTTTTATAAGTTTGGTTAAAAATACTTTCCTCTTCCTTCAATAAATCTCGAACTCAACAAATATCAAAACAAGAAAAGGTTTTATTCAAAATCTGCAATTTTTAACAAAGTGTTCTAGGGGAAAAACTATATGACATAAACATTTATCATGTACATCAACAACAGAAATAAAAAGAACACTAAACAACTGTATCAATAGTTACCTCACTGTTATAACTAAATCTTATCTATACTGCTCTATATATGTACAAAGTTTCATGAAAAACGGTAGACAGGGAGAGAGAGAGGGGGGAAGGGATAGCACAGCTAGTGGATTTATACATTTTATTGCAAAATTGAAAAAAAAAAAGTTTTATACGAGGAGTCGAATGATTGAAATGGAAATCTCAGATTGAATTGCAAGTCTCTGATTTGTCCGGCCCTATGAAAATATATATACACAAATCGTAATTAAAATTAAACATTTTTCTTAAATGCCTTGTAGATTTACATAAATTATCATGATAAACATGTTCTAGTCATTGAAGGAAAAAATAAAAACGGTCCCAAAAACACAGATACATACAGGACTGATATTCATCCGAAAATGATCAAAACAGGTGCGTAAAATATCAATAAATTTGATTAATATACATTCACATTTACATGTAGTTGTATTACGCAGCACCAAATATTATGGATGACGGTTTCTCCAATATGAAGCCATAAAGATGACGGTCAGCTGGATAGAGAAGCTTCACATCACTATACATACATGTCAGTATGTAATATTTCACAACACAGTGTCCAAGTGAACTGTATCATTTGAGTTTTGATAGTAAAATACAGATACTTAACTCCAGGTTTCCTTTTCTGAAGAGTAATATTCCCAAAGTTACAAGATTGCCTTGTTGGAATGCGGTTTTCAATAGAATTTTTCCCGATAATTTGAAATAATGTGCCTAAAATACTGAGTATAAACGTTGTTGAAGATGAATGAACAACACTGAATACAACTAAGAGCGTTGATTTTATGGCAGTGGAATATTTATAACGACACATTGACTGGTTCGTGAAGTTATGACATCGTTGCGGTATAATGTTCAGAGTTTCTTTCCTTACTGAGCTTAACAACCAATTTTTCACAACGAGGCTTACTCTTTGGCGCCTTTTCACAACGAGACTGACTAATGATTAGTTTTTCACAGCGAGGCTGATTTAGAATCAACTTCTCGCCCTGGTGCTTTTTATACGAGGAACATTCAGAACGAGGAACCACCGTATGTCCATTACATATATCGGTGCATTTTGAATGTCCATTTGAGAAAACTCCTTTATGCTTGGAACTGTCGGAAGACTTTCTCCTTTTGTGGTGTTTTCCGCTCGAAGATTTCTTCGACCCATCAGTAACTCTTTCCTTTTTCCACACTAAACTCGAAACAATAGGTCGTTTCGGTGTACAAAGTAGGGGATTTTCTATCGCCACTGGACCGTGGAACGGAACATGTTCCACTCGAGTGGACGTGACCTCATTCTGGTCAGGAGACAACACTGAGTATCTTTCTGGGGTATTGTTTTCATTTGCATAACCGGAGTCCACCTCCATGCTCTCCTCGCCTTCTTCCAAACCGTCTACAACGTATGTGTATTTCTCCACGACCTCCTCGTCCTCGGTTTCTTGTACAGCAGACGACTTTAACTCAGTCTCTGTGGTTTTAGGTTTTGGTTTAGAGAGATCCATGACTCCGTCTGTCCATATTTCGTCGGTGTCAAAGTCTGTTTGGGGACAAGAAGACGTGTGTGCAATGGAATTATTAAACGGACTGTAAGATAAAAAGCTGGAATCACTAAAACCTATGGTGTCGATATATCTTTGATATCTAGAACTATTTAAGGAATGGAATGGAGTAGATGTTTTGGGGGACTTTGAACGATGAGCACCAAGACTGTTATGGTAAGAGATGGGTGGCATAAGCCTGAACATGTCTGGTTGAGGAATCTTGATTGTCGCTGACGAAGGCCGACTATCGCTGGAACAAACACTGTCATTTTCGTTCGGGCTACTCTCAGATATCTGTATTCCAGAATCGTCGGAGCTTTTCTCGGATTTCGAGTCCTCGATAACGATTTGCAGTGCACCTTCTTCATCTGCAATAGTAATGCTACCGTTCTCTGGACTTCTTGATGATTCTGGATCTCTTGGCGATTCTCCAACGAATTTTGATTCTTTTTCTTCGGTTTTAGGAGGATTTTCAGATTCAGGTTTAGAGGGATTGTCCAATTCAGTTTGAGAAGGATTGTCAGATTCATAAACAACTGATTCTCTTTGACTGTCAGTGTCCATTTCATTTAGTTCTAACGACTCTTTCTTGTCTTCTTTCTTTTGGATCTCCTCTTCCTCATGGTTTTTCTTCTCTTTTTCTGTTTGGCTATTTGGCTTTCCAACATCTTCTTCTGCTTCTGTTTTCGTTTCAACTTGTTCTTTATCTGGTTTAACAACAACAGTGTCATCTTTTTCGACATTGCACACTACATCGTCAGAGTTTTCGACTATGTCGTCAGTGTCTTCGACCACGTCGACAGTATTTTCAACCATATTGTCTGTGTTTTTAACCGTGTCAACCTTGCTTTCAACCTCGTCAGTAGTATTTCCAACCGTACCAGTCTTGTTTTCAAATACATCAGTGTTTTCAATCACGTCAGCAGTCTTTTCATCCGCGTTCGCGCTGTTTTCAACCAGGTCGGCATTGTTTTCAGTCAAGTTAGCACAATTTTCAACCGTGTCGGCAGAGCTTACCGCCAACTGTACAGAGTCTGTTGTCTGGGACGAGTCGGATGGTTTTTCGTCATCTTGGGAAGATTGTTGATTGTCATTCTCAGTGGAAGCTTGAAAGCTTTGCGAGGTCACGTGGTTCTGATCCGGGTTATTTTCGTCTTGATTTGAAGCCTCGTCTTCGATCCCCGAGTCATCGTTGCCAGGTGACACCGCACCCGTAGATATACTCCTCTTAAATTTCTTATTTGTGTTTTCGTAGAATGCATAATTTAGCACCATCACCTTTTCCTGATTTAGAAAAAAAAAACAGTATGTCAGACAAAAATTTTATACCGAGGCGTAGAAAGGAACATGTTTCAATGACGTATTGGAGTTGAGGATGACTGGTTCATTAAACGCTGTCTTACCCTTTTCCATCCAGTGATATAGCTAACGTCTACCAAACTGTACTCATCTCTCAGTACCTCGTCCATGTGGAACATCTCAACCTACGGCAAAAGTATTTTATTTCAATAGATAATGATACTAGACAGTGTACTTAATGAAATTTAAAGCAGTAGGAATTTTGAAATCGCAATGTTAATTTTTTTTTTTTTTTTTGGCAAGATTATTTTAGCTGTTAATGTTCCATAGTCTACAAACATTTCCAAAAGTTTTGAATTTTTTAGCAGTTCACGTCTTTTTTTGGGTCCCTCTGGTCGAATACACTTTTTTCTTTCAATTTAATGAATAAAACTTGACGAGGAAGAAAAAATTCCCCTCTTGTGAACAAAATAACTATGTAAACAATTTTCGTTCCATTCAAACTAAAAGTGGATAATATTACATAACGCACTATCGTTACGGCACAAGGAATTATTTCAAGGCGGATACGGGATTATATGTTTTCAGCTTCAAAGCTATTTCTGATCCTGTTTGAAAGCTGTTGATAACACAAAATTAAAATCCTACATCAAAAACTTGGGAGTCGTGATTTTTAAAGGTTAAGCATTCATGGTTTTCTTTTATCAGTCCATTAGAAATTATATTACATATAAAGAACAAACCGATTGAAATGACGTAATTTCTTGTGGGGGCCAAGTATTTTGAAATTTCTTTATTTAGATAATTTTGAATCTGAATTTGGACTTCCAAATTGAAAATTCTATGTATTTTCCACTCTAACTTGAAAAGTTTCTAGTTTTGCATCTATTTATGCTCTGGTAAAGTTATCCACATCCCCCACATTTCCCCCTTTGCCACCCCCACCCCCCCCCCCCCCCAGTCCATCACTGAAATCATTCTCACCTCCAGTCTGTCTGACAGAGAGTATTTTAGTCGCAGAAACTTCTTCAGGTGGTAAACCCTCATCCTGGCTGGACATAGGAGGTACCGCTTGTCCTGAAACTAGAGAGGTCAAAAGATCAAAATTTGATTAACATTTAAACAGGGTAAAAACAAGGCTTGCTTTAAATATCAAACACCGGAGACCGCTCCTTCGGATGAGACTGTATAAACCGAGGTCCCATGTCGCAGTAGGTGCTGGCACGAAAAAGATCCCTCACTGCTCAATGACCTAAGTGCGGAGTATAGGACAAAATTTGCATCTCTCCACCAGCAAGTGGTGGCGTCTCCATACGAGTTAAAAATTTTCGAGAGGGACGTCAAACAATACACAACCAAATATCAAACAGATAAATCTAGTTTCCTCGCCATTAATAATCTACATAATATTAATATTCCCTCTTTTATATGGCTAATATGAAAATAAGATACGCGAATGCCCAGAAACACAGGATATATACCATCGATAGAAGACATTAAACCCAGAGTTATGTTTAATTTTTGTGACAAACAGCATTAGTTTTTCTTCCTACACCCTCAATTTATCTCTTAGATGATCCCTTAATCTACTTTAACTCCGTTTCTAATTGACAGGTCAAGCCGGTGTCTTCCTGTGTAATTTTGTTTTCTCTTCTAATAAACCGGCTGTTTTCCCCCTTAATCTCTTACACATTACGTAATATCTTACTTGGTTCTTTCAAACTAAATTAACAACGCTTCATTACGAACAAATCTGTTTAGACATGCTATGCATCTTGTGTCGAACAGATAAAAAAGTTAAGATTGAAATTGTGTTCAAGTCACTGTTGTAAAATTATTTTCCATGCATATAGTACAAAGGTAATGCATACTTTTGAGTATATTTGAGCCCCATTACACATACACATACCTCATAATCTGTACTTCTTTCATCTAATTTCCTGCAAAATCAATAGGTCATTGGAAAAGTAGGTACATATATACATACTTCTCTAATAGATTGCTTGATCAATTTTTGATATTTTATTTTTACACATATGCATATAATTTTATTGAACAAAAATACGCCTTCAAAGTTGTCGATTTCTTGATGCATGATATATAGACATACATACATGTAATTGAATACTAGTACAGAAGGATTTTAGATTGTTGTATACAGCTTAATTTCGTCTCTAGCTGTTCTCGAACGACAGCAAGTGAAAACGTGGACTTACCAAAAGTAGGGAAATTAACTTCCGTAATTAATACACATATCTTTATATTGTTTTATTTTTAAGGAAATAAAAGTGTGCAAAAAATGCCATTTAAAAAAGAAACGAATGAACGACAATCTAAGCTGTACACAGTATTTATAGATCAGCTGGATTCGATATAGTAACAATTTGTATAACTGCGACGCCTTATCCCGCCCACGAACAGACAAATGAGCTTTATATAGAAACTATATACACACAACTCGTATTAACGGTCTATAACTGAGAGCAATCTAATCGAAATTCTATCTTTGTTTTTCTAACGTAAATCGCAACATAAAATAATTAAGGGGCATATCAAAAGATTTAATTTTAATTGAAATAGCACAGGAGTTTATTTCTGGAATGGCAGGTGATGCTAACAATCAGCATTGGTATTTCTGCATATATAAGTTACGTATTCACTATTTAATTATATGTAGACACACAACTTACAGAATAAGCTAATAAACACTGCTTTAAATTTAAAGAAATCAGTTTGGCAGAAGACATGGTTTTAAAAACCCTGTACAGTTAAAAAATTAAACGCTATTTTGAGTGCTTTTGTACGTTTTCATAAAAAATCTTCACCATGCATAACTGTAATATCAAATTACGCAGAAGAAAAGAGCATTTCCCTTTGCTCTAATGGTATAAAATTAAAATCGGATCAATAAAAAAAAATTAATAGACATTCAACTGACATATGGACTTTATAACAGTATTAAAGAATAACTTCTATGCTTTATAGATGGTATTTTATATTCAACTTCCATGTAGACTTTTTAATTTTTTTTTAATATTCTTTTTTTTTAAGCTGAAGATGTTAACTTATAATTAACTTACATGGTGCATAGCCTCATGCACAAACTAATCTTCTCGTCTGGAGAAAAAATAATCCGCCCCGGTCGGTTCTGGAAATCTGGAATTTTCAAAGAAAAAAGAAATTGGTTTACAGAGAGAACACAAACACACAATGATCATTCCTAAGCAAAGGAACTGATGATTTATTGAAATTCATTTCACTTAATATAAAGATTCAAACAGCTTCAAGGTTTGTTACGTTAATATTTCAGCCCCTGGAGAAAACAAAATAGAAATGCAATATCCAACAATATTAATGAAAAAGATGGTGCGAGAAATTGCTTTACAAAAAGGTAAAGTTATAAATGTTATTGAAGTCTGAAAATATGGAATCAATTAACGATAAATGACGCGTATTTTTTTTTCTACGCTTTTTTTTTTTTTTACAAATTATTCTTTTCCAAATAGAGTTTTACGTTTTCTAGTTTTATTGCGCAACATTTATTTAATTTTTTTTTCGGATATAAAATACGTCATTATAATGCCTAACATCAATTTTGATAAACAAACTTCAGAATTTAGTAGGCACAAGGAAGGAACCGACACGACCTAGTATATCAAATACATGTACATATATTGCAAATATTTTTTTATGTACGAAAATTATCAGTTGTAATTTATATTTCGTAAATAATTTTGATCATTTTAGATTTTAAAAAAAAATATGACGTTAGTTAAATTTGATTTAATTTTCCACGTGCATCTCCATGAATTTAAATATCAACCCGTTCTATCTAAAAGATGACAGATAATTCGTAATAAAAAATCAATTTTACTTTTTTTTTCAATTATCTATATAGATCTTTCCTCAACCAACAAAAATATATAACAATTTTGCCTCAAGCTGTAATTTGACACCCACAAAAAACGACGAAATATTGAAACCAGAAAATTGTCATCCTCATAAAGTGTCATGCTGCATGATAAAATCGGTTTTAGACTGATTTTTTTTTTGCGCTTGATGACGACTTATAACGCACACCATTCTTAATATCGATCTGCCATTATCTTTTTTAAAAATAGTGTATATATCATGGCAATATACTTGCGTAGCCTGTAAATTTTTAATTTTCATTTTTTCCCCCCCAATAACACACAAATCCGAAACAAACTCTATTGGTCTTTTTATGTGTGATCATTAAAACTTTTCTTCGAATTATGGAATATGTATAAAAGAAAAAAACAAATATAAATAAAACGTAAGTCTTCTAGATTTGAACAATGCAAGGGACGTCTTGGTATCATAACAATCCCACTCTTTTCCGAACTTTGCAGCTAACAACATTCTAATATTATAATTCAATAAAAATAAATAAATATAATGCGTGCTTCAGCTGTTCATGTGTAAATGTATTTGCAAAGCTGTTTCAATTTCCAACCACTCACTAGTTTGGAAGCTCAGACCATACCTCCTTCAGCACGAACTAGATATGAAATGGCACAGACACACCCCCCCCCCCCAATATCGTAAACTGATACGTACCATCTGTCTGATCGCTGTAATATTTTCTGCGTCTTTTCATTTCTTCTGTAAATAAAATATAATCATAGTAAACAGAGGGTCGTAAACTACGCATTACCCCCGAACTTATTTACCAGTTCGAATTTGTTCTTGAATAAATCTGAAACGTTCGAAAGCTATAGATACTGTGTATAGTGCTGTTATCCCATCAGACATAAGGTTGACAGCTGTTGAAATAGATGACTGCAATTCTTTTCCCTCGGCACATATCCGTGACGGTATTAAACATATATATATGGCATTACGCACGCACAACTCAATGTTGTAACATTGCATTAACAGGGTATTTACGAATGTCATAAAGTTGAATTATGAATTATATGTGGAAAAATATATATATTTGGAAAAAAAAAACGAATATCATTGATGATAAATGGTTACCGTGTGTATCTGACAAATAAGAAAACAAATTCATTTACTAAAGTAACCATATGCTTTTATTTACATTTTCAGAAAAAAATTATTATAATCTGAGAAAAGCAAACAATTTTTATTTTAAAACAACAAGACATTTAAGAGGAGAGTTTTTTTTTTTGTACAAAGTATTTCCGTATATTCTATCATTAAGTCACAATAACTCCACCAGGAAGATAAATTTTATCATAAGAAGCACAGATCAGGAAGAAAAAGATGTACATTTTTTTTTAAATTTATACATTAATATATTATTAAGTGCTCCTGTACTTACCCATAAATAGCCCCGGAACGACTTTATAGACAATGTCTTGTAGAGTCTTGTCTGGCCTGAAAATTAAAAGAGTAAAATTCTAACCAAGTCGTGAAATATATTTTATTTTAGTGCGTGGACATACGAAATAATTTGTATTTTATTGTACAGCAAGGACAAACGACTTGAATTTTTCTCTTTTGCAAACAGTAACAATTACCCAAATATATTTGTTTTTTATGTGTCTATGTAATTTTTTTTTTATTTCATACAAATGTCAGAGCGTATATAATGTATAAGAGTTCATACGTCTATGTGTAAAAGGTTTAACACACAAAAGCATAGCAAAGCAACTTTTACCAGGGCATAGTATTCATATTTTTGAGTGAGGAAAGGGTGGGTGCTGGGGGGGGGGGGGGTAAACAAAGCTAGGGTATGGATACGAGGCGTCATTTTACATATTTTAGCTAATTTACGATGAACGATTCCCATTTTAAATTTGTACAACTTAAATTTACATTTTAAAAAAATCAAAACGTGTCAATTAAATATTGAAATGCTAAAAGTGAGCAAAACATATCATCAAAATATTTTTTTCTACTCTCTTTTTCTTTAAATTACTGGCAAACTTTCCTACAAAAGCTGATATTGGAAGTAAACAAAATAAATTTCCCCCCTCGAACATAATGAGGGCATTGACTCGCTTAATGGCTGGGCGATCAGGAGGGTCGGTGTGTTTGCGATGACAGATTATTGATAAAGATTTAAGCCAGATTCCCCTTACAAAGATAAAACTCCTAATTAACCCTAGACTTTCTTTTCGGACAGCATTAATTATTCGTCAGGCAGAAGTTTCTATATCATCTTCTATTGTTTTTGAATGTGTATCTTTTATAAATTACATTTTTTCTTTTTACTCTTTTAATGAATCACAGGATTTTGTAACTTTTTTTAAAATTCCATCGCAGAAATTTATAACTTTTTAAAAATATTATCACATATGCTAGATAGGTTCACATGCATATTGGGCCCATTTAACAAAAGAACTTACGACTAAGATAAAACACTTTGTAAAATACGTCGTAAAATCTTAATAATCTATGTTTCTTTTTAAATTAAAAATTCTTTGCATAAAAATATTTTTCAAAAAATCTTTTAAAAAAAGATTTGAACCATTTTTCAAAGTAATGCAAAAAGGAAAGATATTTTCATACGGTATAACATTTTGATTTTAATCATGAACGGGCCAATGGCTATGTATGTATACATATTACTAACTTATCATTTAGAAAAGGTGAAAAATGTATATTTTTCATGTTCTCGTGAATAAAAACAAATCAACATATATGAATTATCACAACCCATCCTATCCCTTACACAAATATGGGATACACAACAGTATACGCAATTAAGCATTTCAGTTAACCTTTCCTTCAATTACCCCGTTTTGGGATAGAATTACAGGGCGGTTAGTAGACAATTTCGGGGCGCTTATTGATATTGTTAAGTCGAACAACAGTCAGACAATGATTGCAACAAAATTGGTTGTCAAGTATGTTTTCCAATCTAATCAGTCTCAATCACTACTTAAATTCCCATTACTAAATAATGATTGTGGCGAAACTTTTTTTCTCTTTCGTGATCTTAGCTGGCGAAACTTTTGTTCTCTTTCGTGATCTTAGATTTCCCTCCTCAATAAAGCCTTGATTCTTTTGATTTTCACACTTTACTTCATACGTTTCAGATTCCAGTGCATGGAAATATTTTAGAGTAGGTGATTTTTTGGGAGGTCGATAAATATTGTTTACATTTTGGCCATTTGAACTTCTCCTTTTGGGTCAATGCCTTGCAGTGATTGATCACATAAAATCGCGGGCGCTTCAATCTCCGTATTGTACTCTCCATACCTCTTGGAAATTTGGTAATCTCGGAACCAGTGTTGAAAACCCCAACTCCTACTAGTTCTACTCTAAATACCTAGGGAGAAGACCTCCAAAGTTATAGGACTTACGTCTTGTTATAAAATACCAATTCACATCTAAATACCTAATGGACTTGTTACGTTTTTTGGCAAAATACGGCTGGTCTTTCCTATTTATGATAGAAATTTACAGTTACTGAATAGACCTTTCTCCTCTGGATTATAGACTTTTTTGGTAAAACATTCAATGTCCTCCATGTGCAAAATAAACTTATTTGAATTTTTGGTATCATAAAAATTATTAAACCGAAACAATTTTCATCAATAGTGTTATTCTAATATAGCGGTATTTCTTTCATTTTTTGGGGGGAGGGGGTGGCATGGAGGTCTCTGTCAACAAAGAAAAGCTAGTGCAGAAGATGCTGGTATATTCGATACATACCTTAGGTTTTGATGTGGGTACTTTTTGTGAACCAAACATTCGCAAACAGGGCAGTAGTTGCTCGTATGTAGATAATGCACAATGCACGTCCGACAAACTAATGACAGAAAAATTCGATATTAAAACATACACAGTAAGTTGGTCAAAGTTATTTTCTTTACATATTTTGTGTATCCTTCTGTGTCATGTACATGTAATTTCTAACTAACGTTACTGTAACTTCAACGGTGATGTACAATGAATTTCTTGATTTTCTTTAAAAAAAATTAAAGATACTTTAAAACAGTAGTAGAAATCCAGCCCTTTTGAACTTAGCAAATAATTCATTACGAAAACAAAATCGTTGATATTCTGTAATGAAAAATTGATCAATTGCAATCCAAAAGTCAGGCAAACCTATTATATGGTTTTATTAAATTATGTTAAGCAATTTCGGACTCATAAAATTAGCTATCATTCATATTTAATGAAGAACTCACACGAGTGAAGACACTCAATTATCGTAGTGGCATCAATCAAATACCCTCCACATAGCATGCACGTCAGATACGGATTCAGCTCGTGCACTGGCATCCGGGCACTTTTCATCATGGCGACTGGAAAGAAAAAAAATCCAAAATGGCATGAAATTGTATCGTACAATTACCTCGTAATCCGGCAATTCAAACAAAGCCAATCAGCCAAAAGTAATGGCCTCATAATGGCATAAAGTGATTTTGTCCATAAAAGATAAAACCCAATTACGAAAACGTCCGAGAAAACTCCAACCAAGTAGAAATGGACGATCGATTTTTTTTCTTCAAAAAGGCGGGAAACAATTTGTCAGAGTTTGAGCCGTAGTAGATAAAGATGAGATTAACTCAGCTGCTCTCCCGATAAAAACCGTCATCAAAATCTCCTGAAGCCACCAGTCATCATCCATTTAGGGGGGATAATGAACCAATGCCGCATCTCGGACGAGTCAGCGCCATCCCTAAATTAAATCGAATTTACCCCGTTATCTTGCTGTCCAAAACGCAGCGAAGATCCGTACCTTAAAACGTGACGGACATACTTTTCCCGCCTCCAAAGACTAATTACAGAAGGGAGTAAAAATCCAGAGTAAAACGCTGTGGCATAATATGGTTTTAATGTGAAGCTAACTGAAGTAGGCTCTCTAATTACTCCCCAGTCAACTATCAACATCGTATCAATATAGGTCGACACAGGGGGTGAATTTTCCAAGACTTTTCGGGAAATTATGCATTAATGAACTAGCGGTTCTACTTCGCATATATATCATGAATAGTACAGAAATATCTAGAAAGTAGTATTTAGATTAATATAAATATCTTATATTTTCTTTCTTTTTCCCTTTCATCAATAAAATTAAGTCTCTCTTTCTCTCTCTCTCGTTGGCACATGTGCATTTGTCCCGAGGCGTTTACTGCTTTCACTTTATTTCTACAAAATATCTCAATGTTATACTTTCTTGTAAAGCAGGTTTTTATTCATTTAAAATTTAGTGATTTCTGTTCGTAAAACCCGATTTAATCCGGACATTTCGCATGCTTTCAATGTCATACAAAATTATTCTAAAGATTATTTTATAAAATGTCATAAATTTAATGTATAAATGTAACGTCTTTATTGCCCTCGAGTTTTATAGGTATAAAATACCTAATCGAGTCTGGCTTTTTCCTCCCATTTTATATGATATTGCATTTCGATCAGACCATTTTCCGTCCTAGAATATGGAACTAATTGTAAGAGAGCGGGGCCTAGCGAAAATGAATGAATATAAATGAATTGGGCGCCAGTTCATTGAATTGCTGACTTTTCCCATCCCCGTCAATACAAATCTAATAAATAAATACAAATTGGTAGCACAAAAATTTGCATAAAAAGCAATAAAATAACGGAAAGATTGGAAAAGGAGAATGGAAATGTAACGTTTAATCAGCTGTTTCTATGGCTATATAAGGCTTCGTTTGCCTTGTTTCCTTGTATTAGTTAAGATCGATTTTCACATTTTATGTACAGATATTGCATTGAACTTAGATGGATGCACATTGCGTTATCTATATTTGTATGAAGCTCAAAATTACTTCTTTTTTTTTTAATTTCTTAAGCGCTACCATATTGCTAAATATGTACGGAAATGGCTTTTTTTAAGTGCTGACATTTAAAAATTTAATGGCTAAAGATATATATCACATATCATTTAACAGCATTTTTAACCAGATGTCGACCATGTGTTATTTGAACCTGAAAATAAATACATGGGTATGGAGTTCACTTTTCCTCCTTTAAGAATCACTCGAAATATTTCAAAACAAGGAAGGCTTAAATTATTTCATTGACAAGGGTATTTTTTAAAAGATACTTATAACCTATTTACATTAAAAATTACTTGTCCTTTTTTCATTCCCTATTCAGATATGAAATGACACGATTCATTTTTTTTTTCTTCTTCCTTTTTCCATACAAGATTTTCCCCTTAGATAAAAAATCTGCGCGGGAACTTGTTGAAAGAAGTTTGATTGAGCATAAAAAACAATGATTATGGCACGTGGCCGCTCATATGCACTCTCGTGATACTATAGATCGATGTTTTAGATGCTACAATGAGTTTCTATTACAATCAATGTTATAAATCACGATGTCACACTTAAATGTTTATTGACATGCATATAGTGTACACGTATTTCTTTCAGTTTTTCAATTATTTTAATTTTTCAAATTATACTGTTCTGACGTATAAACAGGTGTCCCTTACTTATTGAAATATTCTTATCAAAAACTGTTTTCCTCCTTCAATATTTACGTCACATTTTTAATTCTTTTACTTGCAATTAATTTAATTTTTAGCTTCTATGATTTCCTTGTTTTTATGATTGCATTTTTTATTAGAAATACCTTTAAAAATATTTCAAATCGAACATTTAAATTTTTTCTCAAAAAATTATTTCCTTGTGTGATTCGAGTTATATTGAGTGCTTTAAAAACTTTATCCTTCCGAATATTCAATGTTTATTCAAAGAAATAAATTACAGCTACACACGTAACCATTCTAGGGTATACACACTATGTAAATCATGCAATCACACGTTCACATGCTAATGGTCCACAAATCCTCCCGTCGCTGTGCAGATTTTTGGCCGCATGTGAAACTATACCCCTATTCCTTTTGAAAACAATGTACAGTCATTTAACTTGCTGAAAATAGCTTGCATGCTCATGCACACCATGGGATCAAGACTAGGAGAAACGCTTCGTAATAAATTCACACTTTTGTATAGCAGACTACACACGTAGATCGCGGCCATATTTGTTGACTTAAAACCACAACATATAAATGTTAAAGCGCGGCGCTCTCGACCACAAAAAATAGGTTTAATGGACAGCATATGGACACAAAAGCCATTAAAATCTGTAATATAGCCTAAAATAATGTATACTTACCAAAAATAAAATTTATTCACGCCAACGGTTAAGGGTTGTGCACCAAAATCTGGGGCCTACAGCATTTGGTTTAGCAGACGTCGTTTTACCGGTCGATATTTGTATACATGCTCATTTCATCAGGTCACATGATCGTAGTAACTGGCGAAGTGTAACATGAAATATTTGGATTTGAGTTAACTTCTTGCATCCTAACATTTGTGTGTTAATCAAATAATTTCTACGTAAAATTAACACGACGAATTTATAAGTTAATTATAAAAAAATAAATGAAAAAAAAAATTATGAGACAAATTATTATATTTATACGTATGCGAATTTCTGTATTAAAAAGATAAAAATTATATATTTTTGACAAAGATTAAATAAAATTAAACGTTTTTTATGTTAAAGGAATATCTATATTTATCGTAAGAAAATTTGAATCAATACATCAAAATTAAAATTTTTCGCATTGGTTGAAAAATGACCATTAAATCTAATTAAATGTATCCAAATTTTTAATTAATATGTTTAATTTGAAACTATTTTAACATATGAAACAGGGCCTTAAAACCTAATATTTTTAACTGAACCAAGCTACAATATAGTTTGTATAATTATAGGCATTGCATATTTTGAGACTATCTCAAACACGTGCATCGAAATAAAAAAAAATGAATGAACCCGATAATGATTGTTTGAAAGTAACAATAAACTTTTATTTGGCCATTTATTTCTTTGTTAATGCAATTAATTAATGCAGGAAATATGGAATGTGTTGAATTTATCCTGGTCAATTGATCTATATATGTATTGTGCCAGCACAAGTTTATGTCCTCAACAAAAATACAGAAATATTTTGTTTAAAGTAGATGACATATGCAAATTGAAATTGAAAAAGATTTCCTAATTTTTACAGAGAAAATTAACTATACTAGACTTGTAATCTATCGAGCGACACTGAAATTTAGACAGTTTATGAGAATAATTCTTTTTTTTACAATTCGAAGAAACTTTAATATAATTATTTATAATTTATTTGCAAACTCTTTCTTTAATCTTCCGGGGAATATTCGGGATATTCGGAATTCTTGGTTTATCAAATTGAAATTTTAAAAAAATGTGTTAAATTTATCCGCAGTTTGATATTAAAATTAGCTCAGATGAAAATAAATGAAAATAAATAAGTAAATAATTATAAATAACTAAATAAATATAAATAATTGACTAAAATTCAAAATTTATCTATCATAGTCTTCAAATAAAATGTACCTTGATGTGTTTTGACATATTAAATACATGCGCCCTGCTATTTTCTCTATTATTTTTCTTGCAAAAAATATTTGATTATTCAAAAATAACCTAATGTATTTAATCATTTTTAATTTAAGAATTTATTTTTAAAAAAAAAATTTTAAATGGTTAAATATATTAAAATGGTTAAGATATTTAAAAAGATAGTGATAATAAAATTTTATCGAAATACCGGTATAACATTTTTATTTTATTTAGATGGTGAAAGTAAAAATACAAATATTTAAGACATTCGGAGGAAAAAATAGCAATTACTCCTGTTTATAAAATTCGAATGTTTTAAAAGTTAATATAATTATAGAGAATGCAAACTTTTGTTTCATAGCATTTCAGTTATCGAATAATAATAATATAATAACAAAAAAGACGACAAACATAGATCATTGATCTGTTATAATAGTGTCACCCACCTTTAGTTTTAGAATTCAAATTAAATTACAAGAAAAGTCATCTATAGACACAGCGATAACTAACAATCTAGGAAAATACAGATATTTAATGTCAACATTTCGTAAGTTCTATGGTCGATACATTGACCTTGTCAGCAATACAATTCATCATTGCCTGATTGAGTCAAATGCGGACCAGCGTTTACATACTTACCTAATTGTTAGTCCATTATTTATACACTGAATTGACATAGGATTTTCCCTTTATTTCCCGATCATGACGGGTGTGACCGTTCGGCAGGGGATGCTCACTCCTCCATGGCACCTCATCCCACCTCTGATGTTTTGGAGGCCCGTGTTTGCTCTGCTCCTATTTGTCATGTATTATGGACTTTTGAACTTAAATTCTGTTCGTTATCTCCATATATTTCATACAAAACTCGTTCTTATTTTATGGTCTTTGTTTCATGAACAAAGTATATTATAAAAGCAACGATAATCCAAGTAGGTAATAAGTTTAAAAGAATTGAGCAGAAAGATGATATGGTGTGTTGAGAGAGAGAGAGAGAGAGAGAGAGAGAGAGAGAGAGAGAGAGAGAGAGAGAGAGAGAACATGAAGGGGGTAATGAAATATTATTACCCATTATATTTATACTAAAAAGAACTCTCTCTCCAACCCAAATTTACTAGAGATTTTCGGGGAGAGTCTTCTTTCTTTTTTTTTAGGTGGAGGTTGGGGTGTGTGTGTGTAATGACCGAGCTAAAGCATGAAGGAAATTGACCTTTGACTAATCGCTTTCATCTTGTAGATTAACCTATTTTTCATCTGTTCCATTTTACTTTCACCCTGTAAATGTCACGTTTGTACCCCGTTTGATTGTTTTTTCTCTGTTTCTAGACAACACAGACATGACTGTTGAACGATGTGGCTTTCGTATAAAACACTGACGAACGTGAGATCAAAGCGATAGCACAAATGGATATACAGTTTTGGCTTAGTTATAAATTAGACATCCCTTTTCCTACAACTTTTTTTTTTGTTATCTGATTTTGTAGCGATTTGAACTGGATGTGTTAAAATCGGGGTAATACTTCTTCTATAAATCTTACACTAGTATCTTTTTTAGTCCATTTATTTCGAATTGACTATACATGTATTTTAGACCTTATATAATAAGATTGCATCGCAGCATTTGGTATTTTTTTTTTTTAGAAACTCCCATATTGAAAGCAACGTTAAATAATAAATTATATTTTCCCCCTCCCTATATTATCGATGTGATTTTTTTAAATTTATATTTCTTAAAATCAAAAGAATAAAACAACTGTCCCTTAATTGATTTAACTTGTAACTTATTGTTTACTGGAGTCTCAAATCTGCAGAGTTTCATTTACATTTTGTTTACGATATACCCGTTACCTCTTTAAAGTAAACAAACCAATAGTGTGACATATATGGAGATAACGATTGAACAGTATTTAAGCTCAAAAGTCCATTCAAACAATACAAATCAGGAGCACAGCAAACACGGATATCTAAAACATTGGAGGTGGGATCAGGTGCCATAGAGGAATGGGTATACCCTACCGACCTGTCACATCCGCCGTGTGCTCCTTGTCATGATCGCTAAATATGGAAGAAATCTGTGGACAATTCAATGTGTAAATAATGGTCTAATATTTAGAATGAAAATATCAGTCGGCATTTGACTTAATGATAGATTGCATTTGCTGGCAATGTCGTGTATCGATCTTTGAATTTGCTAAATTATGACTTTAGACCGCTGATATTCTTGATTCATCAAGTTGTTTGTAAGTAACTTGCTTCGTTTTAGAAATTGTTCGTGTGTAAAGCATGCTCTTGAGAATCGAAACAACTCTGTATGCAGGTGATAAGTATATTGCTTATGCTACATAAGTAAGGGAGGTTGACGATTGAGATGTCGAAGTCATCATGTTTATTATTAATCTTTGTTATTAGGTTAACATTGACGTGTTTTTCTAGTAAATTATCCGAATAGGAAATAGATATGCCAGAACCAGTGATATCTTTTAGTTCAAGCACTCTGAGATGCATTGCGTCGTCCCCTGCATGGAAATAACTATTGATAATTGATACTGTATCGTCGATATATCTAAGTGTCGAGTAGCTGCAGATTTGTAGCGTTATGGTTTTATATAATATAAAATAAATCTAGACACATTATTGAACTAATCTGTATATTTTATCCATTTCCCAACCCTTTATAGTCGTCTCTACAAGTGATAATCTCGCTTGATTAAAATTATTTGTTAGATTGCGGAAAATTCACTTCAGGCGAGTTTATTGCCTGTAGAAACAACTAAAATGGTTGGGAGGTGGATAAACTAAACATATTGGATACAGAATGTGTCTAGAATTAGGGAGTGAAAGGTAGTTGATTGACCAGTGCTAGAAAGTGGAGAAATTCTCCCCAAAAGAGCGCAAAAAATATTGCGCCGTAAACTGCACCTTTTTTGCACTACGGAATCTGTAGCGTTATGGTCAAAGACAAATATATAAAACCATAACGCTACAGATCTGCAGCTAAGTGTCGAGCTAAAGACCACAGCTAGTGTTTTCTTCTCATGTATAAGATTTTTGAATAAATTGTGCTACACATGAATACAAAAATTAGTTTGCTAATAATGTGGCGTGATCAGTATCCATGGGATTTACGATAAATTGTTGGATGACCTGGAGTCTCCAAAATCCACATAACTGTTAACCATCAGAAACTCAAGAATCTTTTTAAATATCAACTTCAGAGTACTTGTGTTTTTCACTAAATAATTGTGTAGATGACCAAAGATTTACATATCAAGAAATTCCCAATTAGTCATTCTTTTCGCCTAAACATCAATACACCTCGTAAACACGAGCTTTTTTCATTGGCCTCGATAAAATAATTGCAGAAATAACGATTCAAAATGCAATATTACAATTATCCGCCGTCATGCATTTTGCTGAGCTCGATGAACGTCAAACCTCATTTCCTTTGAGTCCAAGAAATTTGCAGTTAAGCACAAAACTTGAAAAGCGCTGCAACTCAATATCTAATTTAACAAAATCTCTGACATATGAAAACGACCCGTGTCCGAAATATTCTAACATATTCCTTTCAATTCATGTTTTCTAAAGAGTTTTGAATCGGACAAGGAATCCCTACATTAGGTAAAAAGTATAACGAAGCATCAATGCAATTTCGTTTAATGTTTTGATGTTTTTCATCCGGATAAGTAGAAAATGTAACTATAAGAAGCATGCCGTTTTTTCCTATTTATACGTCACTATAAATTATATTGCCTTTGACTTAATGAGAATTGATTATGTTATGGGTTCTTTCCCACTGCAGGAGAGGAGATCGGTCCTCGGACCGAATCAACCGAGACTGTGTGTCAAAGT